TCAGACGGTAATTCCAGCAAAAGTAAAAGTTCTCATCAGAAAAGCTAACAGAAATGGTGAAAGCACACTGAAGAGGCGGAGAAGAACTTACCGGAAGAGACTAGAGATCGTCAGGCATGGTGAGGCTCCACGAAGGAGAGAAGAGAGGACGAAGAGATGGTCGACCGTCCTCGGCGGTGGCCAAAAGGGAAATGAACAAGTGGCCTGAAGAGCGAGTCCTCGAGCACGTGGCTCGCCCAGCAGAATTCACAGTCGTCCTCTATGAATGAGCCTGTGCAGTTCTTTTTTCAAATTCGAAATGGAGTGCATTACGCATTAGGATTGAAGAAGTGAGATTATTCCCAGTAGAGTAATCATTTCAAGGTGGTCTTTAAAATATCAAGTCTTTATTACATGAAGATGGAGTTGATCACCTTTCAGGCCTGGCGAATGGCTTCAAATGACAAATGTGGATTTGTACAACAAACAAGAATGTGCCAAAAATTGAAGTGCATAGGAAAAATGTTCACGCATGCTGTGGTATTTGAACAATAAAACATGTATGTTTCGTGGAATACGTTTTAAAACCTAACAACATTCTGCTTGTACTTGATAATATGCTGGTCCAACTTTGACCAGAACTTGAGCAAGTTGGCTCGATCGAGGTGCCTCTTACTGCGACTTAGCTCAATAATCTCCACGGACCACTTGGCAACGTTGTTGTCGAGCTTCATCTCGTCAAACTTCAAGTGGAAGGCTTTGACTGTTAAAAAGTGAAAAAAAGTGTTTTGAGTAAAACCAAAAAGAAACATCCTTTAACAGCACTTACTTCGGGCAAAAATTTCAACAGGCTCGCCATTCCAAGGCCAGTCTTTGAATTGCCATGCAGGACCCTGAACAAACACCGCCACCACACGATTCCTAAAGAGGAAAGGTTAATTTTGAAAACGGGAGACCCTGCTTTCAATTGCATACCAGTCATCAGGATTGAGCTTCTTTGGGTCGTCGACAATCCGATAAGGCACGGTGCTGTTGTCGGCTTTTCGCCTCTGAATGAGCACCTCATTGTCTCTTCGTTGATCACAGTTTTTCGAGTCAATAAACTTCAGGTCCTGGAGGATGGCCCTGGCGTTGTACATGGTGATCAGCGAGGTGGGCGTCGCGGGAATCATGATGATGGGCGTGCGACTGACGCGCTTCTGCGGCTTCTGCGGCAGGCCCGACTGGGAGGAGCGCAGGCCATTGGAGCCGCCGCCATTCAGGGAGTGGGGCGACTTGGCCTGCGCAGAGCCGTCCGTCACCGACTTCAGCGTGAGACCGTGATATGAGCTGGTGGTGTCGATTCGAAAGCCCGACGGAGCGTCGTTCTTCGTGAAGCGCTCCTGATCGTATCGATTGTACTGCTGGGGCGCACCACCGCCGGCGGCAGTGCCGGACGCCGGTCCGCCCATGCCTGGTGGCACTCCGCCGCCCATCGGCCCACCAGGACCAGACATGGGAGGAAGCATTGAGGGGCCACGAGCTCCAGGAATGCCGGGCTTGCGAATCGAGCCGCCGCCCTCTTCACGAGCCTTGATAGTGGCGAGCATGGCAAAGATGCTTTTTTGAAAGTTCTGAAGAATCAAAGTTGTAGAAGCCCTTTTGTTAGCCCTTTTGTCTTTAAATTGCTTTCACCACAAATTACCCTTCCCGATGACTGAAGTATGTTTGTGCGATTTCTCCAAACGCGCTCCTTGCTGCGGAGATCTTTGGCAAACTGTGCTTCATATCGCACAGTGGAAGGGTCCAAATGTCTGTTGGTGTATCAAACGAACTAGATTAGACACCAGAGTGACAAGGCCAGGATTGAAAACTTACTTATTTTCTGACTTTTTGTCTGTTAGCTCTGCAGGCTCCTCGTCGATGTCGCCAATAATTGTGCTACGTTTCTTGGCAATACGTTTCGCCTAGATGAGAAAAAAGGAGATAAGTTAAAAGGTACACTTTGGAAATAGTAAGATTAACTAACAATTAAAGCGTTAAGCTGATCGTTTCCAAGTGCTTCCCGAATTGAGGAAACATTTTCATCAGTTCTAGATCTAGTTCCCAGAACGTCCCTAACGGTGAATCCTGATGGTCGAGATTTAGTAGCATCCAGTTTATCTTTGAGTTTCTTTATTCGATTAGTTTCCATCTCATCCATTCGGGCCATCTTCCTTGGGGCTTGACCGTCAACATCGCGCTCGAAGATTGCGCTGGGACCGCCATACCGACTTGAAGTGCTCGGCGGTTTGAGGCTGTTTGATGAACTGACAGAGTTTTGCTGCACTGTTTTAGGCAACTCAATGGGAGCGGACTTGTCGATTGACTGAGATGTGCTGACTTCGCCCTTCAAGTAGCTGAGCAGATCTTTTCTGTCAGGTCGCTGTACAACTGAAAAAGAATATAAAAAGGGGGTTACAAAAAAAATTCGATAAACAATTCTAATGTAAGAGCATACTAGGGATATTGAGAGTGGCTGCATTTTTGACATATACAGGATGAGGCAATGAAAGGTTGTTGAGAAAGTACACCAGACACTCCAGCGTGTAGTAGCTTTTGGTTGTTTCTTCATGCTGTTTTGAACTGCAATAAAAGGTGTTTGAATATGCAAGTGACTGCTTCTCACAGCTGTTTAATCTTACCTGTAAATCTGGTAGTTTGTCTTGACGTCCTTTGACCAGCAGTACTCGCCAAAGATGATCATGTTGTTGCGTTCCACAATCTCCTTCTTCTCGATGTGATACTGCCGCAGAAGAGACAGCGGATCAGCCATGTTTACGGCTGTTTGATAAGGTGGATCAGAATGACAATTTAATCAGTATGGAAATATTCTTGCAGAATGGAGATAGCGTTTGAGCGGATGTCCACAGAGACGAGTGAAATGACACAAAAGAACACAAATTCAAACAAAATAAAGAAACAGTAGTGTGTGTGTGTTTGTCTTTCGTGAGCCGATGCACTGCCACTGCAGCTTTCCGCCTTGACTTTTCCATTCTTCTGAATACGCAGCCACTCAAGCGCTGGCCGTGCCTCCTCGTAGAAAGCGGTACGGGGGAAGCAAATTCGAAATTCTTTTCCCACTGCAGGCAGAAGAACAATTCGTCCTTAGATTCGGGATTCTAGTCGCCCATCCATTGATCCCATTATGAATCCCTACGAAAACGCCTTTGATTTTGGCGACGTCTCATTTGCTGGTGATCCTACTCCTTGCAAGCGAAAGTTGTCTGAGCTACCACAGCCACCGTTTAACTACTGTACCAGTGAAGCCGAGGGAAATACGTCAGTCATCAACGAGCCACGACCGGGGCCGTCTCAATCACAGCTGCCACCGCCTCGTTCAATGAATGAACTCTACAAGCGTCGTTTCCGTCGTCCGTACATCACTGAAGAGGGCTACAATCTCGATGACTACCGAGATGAAAAGGCTCCAATGCCAACAGACCCCGGCTACCTAGCAAGTAAGAAGGACATTCTGAAGCACCGTGACATGATTCGAAATAAGTTCTCGACTATGCAATCGGCAAACAACATCACTCACATGCTCTACTTTGAGCAGCCACTGGATCCAAAGCGCGCCATTAGCGGCACATATCCTTACGAGAGTAAGAAGAAGATTGAGCCAAAGAAGAAGAAAGAAGATAACATGTTTATGCCAACCAAAACTTTTAAAGAAATCTGGCAAGCAAAACAACAAGTCGAGACGCTCAAAGTTTCTAACGTTGGGAAGAAACCCCGAAATGCTAGCATTCTTGAAAACTCTATTTTTGCGTCAATTTTTGAGAAATACTCAAAGGAAAATATCCCAAACTACAAGAAAAGTCACAAAATTGAGTTCAGCAAAGAGAACTTTGATTTACACAACAACTCTTCTAAAGACATCTCCAAGTATTCAGCTATCTTTGAGCAGTACGAAAATAACATCGGCGACACTTCTTTTGAACGTGAATCGGCTCTTGAAACCTCCTTTTCCATGGACATGAGTCGCTATCCCTTCTACAAGATGTAAACTCATCAGGCAGTAGTCAAGATAACAAATTCATTAACTTTATTTATTTAATTCTAACCTAGATCATCCTTAATCATTCTTCTCAAACACTTTTTTGTAAAACATGAAACATCTGAAGGATTCTCCCCTGATAAGAACTGAGGGGGCTTTAGTAGGCCACCACTAGATGCCGACTGGTTTCGATCTTCAGCAGCTGCTGCTGCTGCTGCAGTTCGTGTTGTGTCTGTCTGTCCGGCGCATCAGCTGCCTTCAGCAGTGGTGAAAGAGAAAGAGAGAAAATGAAAGAGAGACCATCATCGACTGTGCTGGCAATCCCGTCTGACTGGCTGTAATTTACCTTCTCAACAGGGAGAGAGAACTCTACGGTAGAGTCTCTACCCTCGAGTGTTTACACAGAGAAGGCACAGAAGGAGTACCTGGCGAGGTGGAAGAGCGACAGGTGGCTCGAAGACAGAAGAAGCGGCAGAAGAGAGGTATCAATGACTCATCAGCAGCAGCAGCCTTTGAATTATACGGAATCAATCGATCGTCGGCGCGACATCATCATCATCCTCTTCCTGCATCACCGAATTACCATCCCCTCAGCAAGCCTCATCACGAAGTCAGTCACAGCACAGCACTCAGCTGAACAAAAAGGAGGATACAAAGTTGTAACAATTTAAACAGAACAAAAATAGTAAACATGTCCGAACGTCGCTTCACCCGACTGAAGGCCTCGTTGTCGAAGGAGACGGCGGCGAAGACCCGCGAGACGGTGTCTCGAGAGTTGCGACAGTCGATGAGCACCGCCTCTGCCGACGCCTCCCTTCTCTACTGCATCGACGCCGACTACGAGCGAGGACTTCG